CACCCACACCCACACCCACACCCACCCACACCCCACACCCGCCACTCGTAACAGTAATAGTATTATTAATAAGTATTGCTTGAAACTTAACTTCATAAAGCGCTGTAGAAATGTATTTTTTTTTATTTTGATCTGCTGCTTCCAGAAGTAATTTAAATAATGCATATTGTATTCATATCCGATTTCTAATCATCCACTTCTAATGTTTGTCTTAATCGCTTTCTTACATCATTAACCATTTATCTTCCTCAAGACTATTCTCAAACTATCATCTTCTATGCTAATTTTTGTCCTTTACGACTAAAGTTCAAGCTGGTAGTTCTTCACTCTTGAGGTGTTCTTATGTTAATTGGCAACAGGGCTTAAGTGTTGCCGACCAACAAACAAACATGCTCCGATCTAATCGCTTAGTCTTGAAAATGTCAATTTTGATCGATCAAGCACCTGTTTTTTTCTAAACGGCAAATGACTCCTCAAACAGTGAGTCTTAAGTCCAAGCGAGTGAAATCGAATGGGTTTGCCTGCTCAAATGCGACGCGTAGTCTGTATCTAGAGGTGTAAGTCACCACTGATTTTTCTGAAAAATCAGCAGCCGCACTCACTCACCAAATGATCGATAATATAGAAAATTCTTGATCCATAGTCGGCCGTCGCTGACATCTATAGACATTCGATTATTTATTTATCTTCTTCTTTCTTACTTCATCAGTTCAATTTCTAACCAATACTATATCTTTTTGAATAACAAGTGACAAAGAAAAACTCTACATTCAAAATGAGAAATATAGATATTTTAACATTCAATATTGTTTTAGATACCAATACTCCTGAGATCGTATCACTAGTTCATACTGTTGTTGTTGTTTGCTGATCTATCTTGGCTTATAGTGATGAGAGTTACTTACTCATGATATTGAGCATGTTATTTCATCTATTTTAGTAATAACACTTTTTTTTTATTAATGGATGCGGCAGAATAAATAGCGGGTCACTATTTTCTCCATCACTCAGTCTAGTTTTGCCATTTCGAAACAAATGTTTTACAAAAAGCTTTAGTGTTTAGTTCTTTACAAAACTGTACATTTCTATTACGGAAAAATACTTCGTCATTTTTTTGATATGCAATAAAAAAGAGTATCCGAATATATGCAACTTTTCAGCAGAGGTTATTTTCGATTGTAATCCATTCCCATTCGTTATAGGCTTAATTTGATTTAGATTCAATAATCTGACTAATTTATGCATTGATCATTCGAATATCAATGATACTTATCAGTATAAGGTGCAAAACTGTCATGCAACGATTATTGAGTTAAGTGATGGCATATGAGTTTGTGTTATCATGCCTGAATCTTCAATCATTGTTAAACTTCTTATTCGCCTTGTTTATGAAAATAAAGTAAATAAGAATTTTGGAGATCAGTTGCGTAATCGCAAATAAGCATGAGAGCAACGGACGGATAATTGACAGTTTTTTTTCTTATATTGTTAAGTATCATTGATATTCCAATGATCAATACATAAGTTAGTGAGATTATTGAATATAAGTCAAATTAAGCCTATAACAAATGGGAATAGATTAAAATCGAAAATAATTTCGGCTGAAAAGTTGCATATATTCGGATACTCTTTTTTTATTACCTATCAAAAAACGACGAAGCTTTTTTTTCGTAGTAGAAATATACACTTTTGTAGAGAATGAATCGTTGAATCTTTTGGTAAAAAATTTGTTTCGGAATGGCGAAAATAGTGAGATCGTCATTTATTCTGCCGTATCCGTTAATTATTGGTACGTTTTTTAAAAAGTGTTAGAAGTGATATGAACCGACTACAAAACAGAGAAGTAGCAGAAAAAAATTCTCGAATATGAACACCCCTAACGATCATGAATGTGTTGAACATTCTAAAGAAAAATACTTATCTAGGAAAAGACTTGATGGAGAAACTGAGAACAAATCGTTATGGCAATGAACATAAAATCTGTATAGTGTAATAGAATCGTATGATTAGAATGTAAAAATACATGAGTTTGAACTTCAGTAAGTTTTATTTAAATTGATGTGTTGATAAACTTTTCATCGACTCATCTCATCGATATTACTTTGGATATGCTAAGTCATTTTGTCATTCTTTTTCATACTTAGATTTAAGTAAATCAAGAAAATTCTTTTATTCTTCTAACACAATATTTTGAATTGAATAAGACACTGAAGATTCAATGACGAACGCAGTCGGAACGCTTAATGATCGACTTCAATCTTTATTATCAATGAAAATCGATGATGAACAAGCAATCATTGTTACTCTTGAATGCATTGTAAAAGACTTTGGTCTAGACGAGGTTCAACGGTGGCCCATACCGCAATCAAGACAAAAGAACTGCTTGATACACGAATTTGTTCTTTTGGGTCTCTTGAAAACAATCGAATACGCAGTGAAGGAATTGAATTTTGATATCAATCTCAAGCGTGAATCAGACGGAAACACACCACTGCATTTAACTTACTGGTATCGAAAACCTAATATTGGTGAACTTTTAAAGGAATTGCAAGCAAATAAAACAATAAAAAATAATTATGACGAGTCAGTCGATGATTTAGAACGAAAAAGAGAAAGCATGATGAATATTATTTGGCTCGACACAGGTAAGATCGATAATGATCAAAAATATTATCCTTCTAATAAGGACAAACTAGTCAAGATACTGCTGATAATGAAAAAATTTGTTTCAGAAAGTTAATGTTAATTTTGAATAATTGCTTTTATTTTGTGAGTCATTTCGATGATCTGTCAAAATATTGATAAAATATTTCAGAAATATGATTGACAATAGAAAAAAAATACTTTTGCGTAAAATGATTTCGAATCTTTGATTAGCATGTTATTCACCTTTGTGTATTGTCAGATATACTTCTAAATATCTTTTAGAGTTGACATCTTTGGATGATCCTTATATATTGGAATGTGCTGTGATTATTACAGACAAAAATTTGAATGAACTTGAACGCGGTCATTGGGTTATTCACTATGGAAAAATTGAATTGAATAAATTATCTGATTTTCATCAAAAAAATTTCAAAAGCAGAAGTGAAGGTACAGTATATTGTAAACATGATTGTTTTCGATAATTCGGTTTGATTGCAATGTCATTTGTTTGCTCGTCATTTTTCTTAGGTGGAAATGGCTTGTTTGATGATATTTTGGCATCGAAAACAACGAAAGAAGAAATGGAAAATCAATTATTGGAATTAATTAAACGACACTGTCCAGAAAAGAGTTGTCCGTTGGCCGGTAGCTCGATTCATCACGATCGTGAGGTGGTTCGGTTACGGATGCCAACTGTTTATAACTATTTACACTATCGTATCATCGATGTAAGTAGTTTCTATGGAATGGTCGAACGATGGTCAACAACAGAGAAATGGTTAGAAAAAGAAAAATATATAGAAACTATCATGGAAGAAAAGTATCGAAATAATTCAACTGGAAGCAAAGCACATCGAGCGATGTATGATGTTGAACGATCAATCGAGATTTTAAAATTGTTCAAACCGTGTTTCACGATATTTTGACAATATTGTCCAGTTAAATTTTCTAATAGATATCTCTCTATTATAAGCTTTGTGTTAAATTAATTATTTTTACTTTCTGAATTCAAGCTACGAAAAATAATAAGAAGATTTTTAAAATGAGAATCCAGTCTTGATATCAAATCCGAACAAATATATGATAAAAGAGATTAACAAAATAAGACTACTTATAAATCATAGTTTCAGTTCGGAGATAAAAAAGAAGAAGGTATTTGTATATTATTTTCTTTCCATCAACTCAATATTACGTTGCAATAAAAATAACGAAATCACTTTTCATAAATTTCTTTATTTCTCCCAGTGTTACGGCAATTTTTAAAAAGAATACAAAACTCTTTGTTGATCTCATATCCTATTCTGACAGCTTTTATTTCTAAGTTGAAGGAGGTGAGTCAAGAAGAAACAAAAACTTACACTCTTTTTGCCTGTATGATGAAATCAAAATAGAATAATAAAAATCTACTGAAAGTTAGATGTCCTATTTATTTAAAATTAATCGCTAATTATATACAATAGCAAAATATATCTTAAACAACTAAATTTTTTTACCACCACAAATATAAATCTTCATTAAGATATTCGACACGATAATCTTGAAGTAAACTTTCTGATTTAATAAAAACTTTTAATCGTTTTGGATATATTCTCGCTACGTTTGAAATGCATAATAAGAATAAATGTTGTGTTTTAATATTAGATTTTGATAATAAAAATTTAATTATTTGTTCGATCTCTTTTTTATTCATTCCAATTTTAAGAGACTCTAATCGTGGAAATAAATTAACAATCAATTGAACTTGATCCAATGAATCACAATCACGAAAATCTAGATTTTTAATTTTATTTGTATTTGATACGTATTGAAAAATTTTACTTTCTTTGATTAAATTTAAATTGATGTTTTTCACAGATAAATAATTTAATTTTAACGTACATAAATTAGGTGTAGAAGGTAAGAATTTCACAAGTTCTTCAAATGAAAAATTAAAATGTTCCGTGACTAATTTAGTAAGTTGTTTTAATGGAATCATACGATTCAGAATTTTTATAATTGAATCATCTAATGCTTCAAAATAATGTTGAATAGTCAACTGAGTTACATTTGGAAAATAATTTATATCATTTTGTGTTGCATATTCACCATAGACATAAAGATGGTTAACAGAATTAAAATTCATTTCTGAAATATTTGAACAAATTTGTTTAGCTGATTTCCAATAAAATGTAAAATCTTTTCTGCTAAAAGAGAATAAAACATGAAATTAAATTAATAAAACTACTATTGATTTCTACCTATATGGATTTGTAGAGAAAAAAACTCCTCTATTTAATCTTTTGTTGTGAATCATGTTGATATGTAAAAAAATCATTTTTTTTTCGAACCAAAATGATGAATTAAATTGATTTATTATGTCATGATATGTTAAATCATTATTTCGTATAGAACCTTCATGATATATATCAAATATGCGTAAATTTGGCATAGAAGATAATATTAATTCTTCCCATCGTTTAGCATTTAAATATGCTTCATCAAAAAATGTTGTCAGACGTAAAATTTCTATTGACCGAAAGAATTTTTTTTATTATTTTTTTCAAATTTATCAAATTGAATATAGTAAAATCTAAGAGAAAGTTTTTTTAAATATTTTAATCGAATATGAAAGAATTCTTCTCTTTCTATATAATTCGAATTAACAATAGAATCAATTGAGAAATGCTGAAGTTGAGGAAGACAAGATAATAAATTTATGCAATAAACTCAATGGAAAATCACCATTTATTATTAAACATTGAATAGGACTTCGACTATATTTATTACGTTTGATAGATGATGATTGTTGAATAATTTTTCTTTGATAAATGATTTTACAATATTTTAATCTTGATAAACGAAATATTTGAACAAAAAGATCTAATGTTTGAATATAATCAACAATAGAAAGATTTAATGAATGAAATTTAGGTAAATCTATTAAATAATTAATAATTTTATCAAGATATTTGGCATCGATATTTTCAAGAATCAATATTTCAAGATTAATAAATCGTAAAATAATATTTGGTGATGAAAAAATATTTTCAGCAATAAATTGATTCGATAAACGAAATATATTAATGCGCTGTCTATTTGGTGTAACAATATTTTTCTTATAGGATTCAAAATTTGATTTTGACATTGGTAAAATATTGATTTTAATTAGAAAATTTGAATCATTAAGAAAATCATTAAATCGTTTATTAAGATTGAAAAATCCTTTATAAATATGATACATATCAAGATATTCAAATATTTCATAAAGAATCCTGTTCATTAAATTTTCAAAACGAAATCTAAATTAAATGAGAAATTATTTTTACATAATTGAATAGATATTTAATAAATGCGGAACTTCGGATTTAGATCCGAGAGTTATGTGTACTTCAAAAAGTGAATCATACAAATCAATCATCCTAGACTGTCTCAATATCAAAATTGTAATGTGAAATCTACCATTTAAAATGTTCATTTCTATTGCGGGTTGCCAAACCAATAGGACTTGGGACCGAATACAGCTGAAGTTTCAACTCTGCACATTGATTTACCCTAACAAAGTCGTTTTTCCTATAACTTCATTTCTATTGGTCACTGCACAACTAATAGTATTTCTATGGAAGTGCAGTACACATTCGAGTTCTCCATATCTGAAAATCTCGAAGTATCATCAGTGTGACCGGAAGATAAAGCTCTATTTGTGGATCAATTAGATCGTGGACCAAAATATAACCTAGTTCTCTTTAATTATCCTTGTCATAGGTTAGTCAACCTTCTTGTTTCTTTATGTTTTATATATCATTTTGTAGTTCTTGAAGTTCTCTATCGAATGGTATATAATAGTTGGGGTTTCAATTGACTATGATAGGAAGAGTCTTCTACGAAAACTTTTCCACAGAAAGCTATAGGGAAAAATGGGTATTTTTGCAATAACTCAGGAAGGGCTCGACCGATCCTTCTCATCTTCGAACTCAACCGAGATATGGTCAAGACTAAGCTGTGTAGAAAGTTTCATCATAATCTGACTCTGTTGCCAAAAGTTCTCATGTAAACAGCCAACCGGACGGACGGACACACTGACTATTCTATAATGTACTCACTATTTGAGTACACAAAACTATGATTCGGTTCAAAACTAATATCAAATTCAGAATCAGCGTTAAAAACTAAGTCGATTTATGTATTTTGTGAATAATTATCAGGAAAAAATTTTTTTTCGAAAAATCACCGTACTCCCCCCCTCAGGGATGGTCTGGTCAAAAATCACAATTTTTTCGATAACTCAGCCATTTCTTGACGGATCGTTCTCATCTTCGAATTCGGCCGAGATATTGTCAAGACTAAGCTGTGTAGAAAATTTCATCGCAATCCGACTCTCCTTTCGAAAGTTATCGTGTAAACGGCCGGCCGGACGGACACACTGACCGATTCTATAGTGTGCTCACTTTTTTAGTACACAAAAAAGGTCTATCTATAGACTTAGTCAGCGTAAAATAATAGATATGAAAATATATATTCTGTATTTTAATCAAATATTCAGCACTATTCAACTGCAGTTGTTTCGATTGACAGAGACGCTTTTATTTGTTAAATACCATTAATTATCATCATCTAGTATAGTGTTCAAGTTCATAGTGGCAAGTTTTTTAGCTAATTCAATCGCATATTCTTTTCCTCTGCCCATATTCTCCTCGGAATTTGGCTCTATATTGTTATACCATCGAGCAGGAATCCATTTCCAGCCGTGCAAAGCTCCAATAATATCTCCGATTATAGCTGCCACTGTGTCAGTATCACCACCCATATTCACACCGCGAACAAGACATTCTTCAGGTTCACGATAACCTGTGCATACAATCCACAAGGCACATGGCACAGCTTCGATAGCTTTCAGTTGAAATGTGTTCCCCAATGCTTGTACTACATCGATGTCTGTCCTAAAAAAAAATGCAATTATAACCAAGATGATTTTGCAATCATAGTAATTTTAAGTCAGTTGTCGATACTGTCCTGATGAAGTCGAGTCAACAATGAATTATAATTAACCATCTTTTTCAATCGATTAAGTCTACAAACCATTCAGGGTCAGTATCAAACAATCTTTTATTTTTTCAAAAAATTTAGGATATCAAGTTCATGATATTCTCACTCCTTAACATCTTGAACACTTACTTTTGTATATTTGCACTAGTTTTCTTAGATTGTGCAGTATGGAGCCCGATTAATAATTTAATTTGATTTTTCATGGTTCTCGTTCGTGCTATCGTCTTTAGAACACGAAAATATTTCAAAGGATCAAACGATTCCACCGAATTACAGCGAAGAGCCAAGATAATGGCTTTAGCTAAAACAAAAGCTCCATCTATACTTTCAGGATGTACGTGCGAAGAGATGATAGCCATGCGAACAGCTTCGTAGAGTTGGCTGTCAGATGCATTGCGAAATGAAAGAGCAATAGGAGCTATTCGCACCGCTCCACCATTGGCAAATGATCCATCGGGAAAGTTTATGCGTCCACACTCACGGTAATCTATCTGGCCATCGAGTACACACTATCAAAAAATAAATCGAGAGTATCAACTCGAATGAAGTTCTTGAAATCTAAGATATTGTCAAATCCATTTTTCTAGTATATCTATTACATATGTTCTGTCTTATGTTTAGTCATTCTCCGTGCGAACTCTTTGACTTTTTTTGGGTTTTTTTACTAAAGGAAAGTACCAATGAAAAATCACTTTACGATTGTGTATCAACAAGTTTCCGTTTTATTGACATAAAAAACAATTAGCAGTTTTTAGACGTTCACACGTTTTACAGCAAGGATAAGATGAAGTCGAAAATTGGGTGAGCTTGAAAGTTATTGCCCTTCACTAATCATAGAATTTAATGGAAGCGAATGCTTTTCTCAACCGTAATGTTTCCATAGACAGGTTGGCATTATGATATATTTATATCGAGTGCTTATAGAATTTATCTTCAAGTTTCTATCATTTGTTAGTGCTAAAAAATTTTCGTCGGTTACGACTTCACTTACTAACTAATTGTAACTCTTTCTTTCTATAGTGAAGCAGTATCCAATGACTTGCGTTTGAAGACGATTCTCTGGGTCGATATATTCAATCAATATTCAAAATGTATGTACTTAGGACATTCGAGTAGTTCTTTCGCTCAGAGAGAATTAGTCAATAAATAACGGTTCCTGTATTTTTACGACTAATTCTGGAGCAAGTGGCTATAGTATTTAATATCGATTTGAATACAACTCACAAGTATCTCTTTGAATTTATCGAAATTTCTCGACTAAAGTTCTTTGTTATTACTTAATTGAACTTTGTTTTTATCAACCTATAAAAGACGTGATCAAACTAAATATGGCTGCATGAGAAAATATACTGCATGGGCACCACCGATAGAATTTGGATTAATCATATCAAAACTAAACGGATGATGTTAGCAATATTGCTAGTTAAAGGCAGAGAATCGATAGTCGACTATCTAAAGAGAAAAATCCATGATAACATTTTTTGTAGACTAAAGCTAAAATTATTATCGATTATCTGATTTCTTCTCAGTGACAAAACTTGTCGAATATTCTAAATATGATAATAAAATGTTACCCATCCACATATCACAAATGAGAACAACGTTTGCTGTATCGTAGTTTTCATCTTTTACTGTTTCACTTCGGTCAATGGCATGCAGTTCGACTCAAACACGATACGCATCATCCTGCACAAAACTTATAGTTAATTCAAATTTAAAACGAACAAATTAATTGACAGAATTCATTTGCTGACACACAATAATACCTTGAATGTATTCCTATGCACGAAATAATGTCTTATCTATAAGGACTTTCGTTGGTGTATTTCCATTATTAATTTTCAGATTTAATCACCGCATACAGAGTTTTATGTTGCATCATTTAATACAAATGTTTACTAGTGTTTCGAACCAATGTTTAAAGTTTGAAACTAGGAATTTATTCAAGAGAGAAAATATCGTAGAATCTGATTACCGATCATGATCCTTAGAATTGTTCAAGTTACAACAACATTTGGTTATTCAATCAGTAGTCAAAGCACGTACGCTTTTTTGTGAAACATGATCTGAAAGAAGTGTTGAAGTGTTTAAGGGTAGAAATTTAGACTCACCCCCTCCCCCCACAGACCGTGACAGACACGGCTCTAGACCCGTCCCACACCGTGGCAGACAGGGCTCTGGACCCATCATAGACCGTGACAGACAGGGCTCTAGACCCATCACAGACCGTAACAGACAGGGCTCTAGACCCGTCACAGACCGTGACAGACAAGACTGAGGGATCATTATAGACTGTGATAGAGGACTTCAAGGAAATATCAGATATGATGCACAACTAATATATCATTGAAGCATGTATTGAGTACTATACTGTCGAAAGCATATAATATAAGGTAATCCATTATGAAGAAGTATATATCTGTAGCCATAAAAACAACAGCTTTTAGAATATCGGCTATAGCAGCTACATCGTGTTTCACATTTTTAATCCCGCAAGGGATTGCGCTAACAGCTTTTTTAGAAGAGTGCAACTACCATCCAACAAAGCTGTACAAAATACAGATCATATCCCATTGGCGCATAAGTTCTGAGAATTTTTTTTCTGGTTTAACAATAACTTTATTTTCCAACAAAGATATGCAACATCAATCAACAATATAATCACCATTATTTTCGACAATCTTCGCCCATCTTTCTGGCAATAGTTCAATTCCACGTCTGTAGAAACTACCCGGTTTTGATTCGAAAAAGGCAGTTAGATCGGATTTCAGCTCATCGAAGTCTTCGTAGTTTTTATTGCACAGGTAGTTATGAAGAGATAGGAACAGATGATAATCGGATGGTGCAAGGTCTGGTGGCCACGGCGCGTGCGAAAGAACTTCCCATCCTAAATATTCGATTTTTTGCTGAGTCAACTGTGCCACATGAGGTCGACTATTGTCATGGAGAAGGATGACGAGTTTTTGATTCACCAAAGCCGGTCGCTTTTGAGATAAAACAATGGCGATTATATTGTTGATTGACGTTGCATATCTTTGTTGAAAACTAAAGTTATTGTTGAACCAGAAAAAAAAGTTCTCAGAACTTATGCGCCAATGTAATAGGTTAGTCATTGTATTAACTAGCAAAGAAAAGAATTTCAGACAATTCCTGCCCAGTATATACTAATTTAGTACTGTTCAACAACCTATTGATATTGTACAATATATAAAGCTGAAAGTTTGACTGTCGTTTAACAAAGAAATGTCCATGAAAAAGGGAAGAAACAAGAGTTGCTATTAAAAAGGGAACCATATAATGAAGAACAATATTAATGATAGGATATTAAGTTAGAAATTTTTTGTTTTTTTTCGACTGTTTCTAGTACATTTAATCATCAAAATATAGATAATCATATGATCGGAAAAAAGGCCATTTCACTAACCTGCATACTTGCTTGAGCTGATTCAGGATAACCTCGTTTAACTCCAGTCGACCAAAATTGAGCATAGGATTGGGCTGCATGCTTCGGCTTCAAACCTCTATTTGTAACAAGACTATGCGCTAGTGCAAGCATGGAGTTTGTATCGTCCGTATACATATGAATACGAGGACCAAGTTCCTCCACACCCATATGTGGAGCTGCGACATCGTCACACAGAGTTCCATATTCACTTTTAATTTTGGCAGCTGAGTAACCCTCGACGCCAGCACCTAGCTGATCACCGATCATGTGACATAGTAGACAACCAATACAACGATCATTTAAATCAATAGTAGTTTTCGTTTTGTTCACAGATCGTGTAAAAAGTCCACAACACTTCATGTTATTTTGTTTCTTATCGAAGAGTAACAAAGAACAATGAGAAAACTGATAGTGAATATTAGAAGAACTATAAAATCAAACTTTATGATACACGTCTGATAGATAAAATATCGTATAGAAAAATAACGGCTACTGCTGCACATCAAACGATGCAAATGACACAGAAAGTAGAAGAGTCCAAACACGTGTATTAAAAAGAAGAAATGATTCAAGTAACAACCATAAACAGAGCAGAAGATGAAGGAAAACAAGACAGGCACAGGTATACGTATCCAAATAAGCATAAGCAGAACAGTCGAACCATAGCCATATCCATACGTTAGTTTTCGTTATATACAAAATTATAAAACCGAGGAGAGAAATCATATTTGTCCATCCGTAATGAAGAATCAAAACGACATCAAATACTCGAAATGAATGATGTGTCTTGAATCAAAGAAATGAATAACACTATACTTGTGATTGATAAAGTCTCAAAAAAAGTGTTATGTGATTTATTTGTACGTGATCAATTTAATGATGACTAACTCATTACATTCTAATGCTAATAAAACCAATCTCGTTGTCATTATGCTTTGCTTTAATAAATTCATACTGATTGTAATTGTAAGTGCTGGAAGTTTTCTGGCAGCATGTTCAGACCTACCTGGAGTTATATTGTAGGAGAATAATATAATTGTAGTAGTACATCTCTAGTAGTATTTCAGGGGTTGGTGTGGGTGTGGGTATGAATAATCTCTGAGTATTTATCTTCTTTTTACCCACACCCACCAACACCCACCCCCACCCCCACACCACATCCACCCCCACACCCGCCTAATTCGACCAGATGTGTTTCCACTGTAGTATGAGAGCACCCAAGACGCTCTGCTAAACATCGTGTAGTTAGTCTAGGATCTTCTTCGATAAGCTGCTTTAAGAGATCCATATCTACGTCTAGTGGTCTTCCAGTATGAGGTAAATCGTCGAGTTCGATGTTACCGCTCTTGAACTGATTGAACCAACGTTGCGCCGTACGAATGTAGAGCGCATCCTTGCCCATTGTATGGCATATGTTGCTTGTTACTTCCGCTGTGTTGTGTCCCAAACAGAATTCATGAAGCAGAAGCACTCGGAGCTCTCTAAGAGATATCTTCATTTCTAATTCGAGATCAGCATATATATCCATAGTTTTATTGTTGTTCGAAAGATATTCACACTCCCTTTATATACCCTTAATATGGAAACTTCTAGAACTTTCTTGACAGTCCTAGGAAATTTTCGAAATAAAAACGACAAAAACTTCTTGCCAAGCCAATATTATAAATCACTATAAAATACAGCATGATGCGCATATTGAATCAATAAGCACTTTAATGCCACTTTTAGTTCTATTCTAAAACGAAGAACCAATCAGCAGTGGTTCTTATTGTTAGTTTGTTGAAACACCTTTAATAATCAGAATAATTCTTATATTGAACTCTAGATCATTCGATACAATCTCAAAGTGAGAAAGGTCAAAATGACAATCCAACATCTCAGATAGAAGAATATCCGATTCCAAAAGATGGTAACAATGTACATCAAATAAACGACATTGATTCTGCAAGGATTTATTAAAGAAATCAACGTAAGTTGTATGAAATATCATTATGATTGAAATAGTTTTCGTTGTAGTAGCTGCTGTTGCCTCTTCGCCTTTGGCGAAAAACTCATTAAATAGTATTTTCATGAATGGCTCTTGGTTACACCGTTTCTATCAATATGGAATATGATTTGGTCCATTTTCACATCGAATGATTTTTAAATCGTATAACAACTCTTTTGAAGGCTACGGTAGTGATATTGTTGGTGATTTTCTCTTGAATGGATTCTATTCAAGAGAAAAGCTGCAGATAACTATGACTCAATCATACAAAGTAAATCTACTTATTGTTCTTTGGAATTCTTAAAATTTGAACTTGCGTCCACTGATGTTTTGTAAAGATATTTTATTGAAAAATGGATTTCGAAAAATGACCAAGAAATTCTTCTAATGCTAGAGAATAGACTTTGGATTCTGAACTAGATCCATTATGTGTAGACTCACATCATATATCCATACAAGATTCAATAATTTTCTTTGTAATTTACTTCGCAAAAAAAAGGTTTAGATGGTTTTCTAACAATATCTACAATTCTTGTCTTGAAAAGGAGAAAGTTCTTAACTTTGTCACTTTTGTTTAAAAGTATTTGTGGCTTGTTATACATTATTGCCGAAAGTTTTCAACATCTTTTCAAAATTATTTATGTCTGTTTAGTTGGGAACTGGTGATCCACGGTTGAATATAGGTCATAAATGTCATTATCAGTTGACTTGGAACAATCAAAAGTGCATTTTTGAAGGTATCATATACGAACAACATGGATATACTACAATATTCAATGGTATGTTCGAAATGTGGCCTACTCAAGTTGCTGAAACCTAATATACTTTCGTCAACTCGCGATGAATTTTTTTTTGATGGATTTATTTTTATAGACGCTTAAGCATTTTGAACAATTGAGTTCAAACTACTGGAAAGTGTACTTTTTTCTACTCTTTCACTAAGATCCATTGGTATTCACTTAACAACCGAATATTAATATTAATCTTTAGACTGATTTTCCTTTTGCTCTAGTAACTATAATTCGTGATAAGACACAATTCATATTTACAAATATTTCGAAAGATTTTAATGAAAATAAAAGAAAATCACTCACATTTCTCAGATTACCAATACTTATGTGAATTTCGCTATAGGTTTAGCTTTTCTCTTTACTCACATCTATATTCCAGAGTTGCAAGCTATATCAAAAGTTTTGAAAGATAGATTACATCGATAGAATTTTTTACTATACATTCGTATGGCATTCAAATATTTCATTCTCGATTGTCTGCTGAGTACGTGTAACTTTGTTTGAACATAATTTACACAATTACACGAAATATTATAGTCATTTTAAATTTTAAACTACATGACATATCCATTGAGTTTGATCAATATACAATCTAGTTACGAAGAAATAGATGTTCATCGACTTTTAGGGAATCAGTATATGGCTCGCTATGTTTCTTTTAAACTATGTTGAAAGAGTGTTATCAAAGTGACACTTTTGATCACTATTTTGTGATGGATCAAAAAAGAAGGATCTCAACCTGTTTTCAAAGATTCGGTTTACTTTAATAGATATTTAATAAACATTCAATTAATAGTTTTATATGATGGTCACATTAGAAGACTTTATTATGTTTGTTGTGTGATTCTAACTCAGCTAAACAACTTTGTTCTTCTGTTTTGCGTAAATAAAAACAATTAGAAAATTATTTTCTATGATTATACTTACACTTTAGTCATGTAGCATGTCGAATGGGATATGACAGATATACATGGTACATTGTACGCTGGCGAACATTTATACTCAGATGTTTCGAACTATACAGTATTTGCGTTGTGAATGTAGTATAGATCTTTTCTACTCCCACATCCTAAGCAGAGTGACAGCATCCGTAGAAGAATAGGCAGTTTTCTGAAAAGAAGAATGATGACACATTGAAGCTGCCTCAAAATTGTTTTATTCATTGTCAATTGAGAATATTATTGCAAAAAAACACTTTTTAAAAGTTAGAAAATAATTTAGTGTCCCTCTCTGTTTTGTATTCATGCGATGGTTAATAATCCATGTAAAGGAAAACAACAATCGATTGAGATGTGCAATATGGGTTATTTTATTGAGTAATATTCCCTAAGAATTAAAGTCAATCATTAACAATCCCAAATATACGTGTTCAATCTTTGATAATTCAGACTAACTGATCTGTATTTTGAAATTTTGCCAACTTGAAAAATCTTTGGTTATTTATAGTGTTTTTGTCACTATTTCGTATTCCTATAGATGGAATCATACTCTGTTAATCTTTATTAATTCGTATTATATTAAAAAAATTTTTATTTATTTGTTTTTTGCATTTTTATAACAGAATGTGTTAGTGTTTTGTTAAATATAGTCCTATAATCGAAAAAAACATTTCAGTGCAGTATTTCGAATCTACTTGATCTGAACTGTTTACTTTTTTCTTTTTTAGGGAAGACGATCATCTTTCATGAGAACATTTTGTAGATAAAATATCTAGGTTAAAAACAACAAAAATATTTGGCACTAAATCTTAACTAATTTCTTTGCAGATATTTTCAACGAAAAAAGTCACAAACAAGCTCCTATTTGTCACTGCTGTTTTTTGATATTATATCACATCTGTAATGCTTTAAGTGAAATTCTAGATTAATGATTTTAAATATTGAGAAAAGATAGTAAAATAATCTATAACCTACAAAAAAAATAGAACTTTTCGTAAAAGGGTATGGGCGTGGGTGTGAGTAACGAGAGGCACTACACTCACACCGCACCCACACCATTATCTGCACTCCACACCCACACCATCACCTGCACCCCACACCCACACCATCACCTGCACCCCACACTCACGCCCACCCCCACGCTCATTCGATAGAGCTTTATCGATTACCTATAAATAAAGTATTTTCACAACTGTCAGCCTTTCCTTTTTAAAACAAAAACGAGTTTCCAAGAAAATTAATTGCTTTTTTTTTATCTCTTGGTAAAATAAAGTTTCTAAAAAATCAATGTGTCTCAATATTTCTTTCCAGAATGGCTTCTAAAATAATATTTATATATTCTTATTATATACCAATCGAAAGCACTTGATAAGAAAATTCGATGAACATGTACTGAACTTTATTCGAACATATTAGAGTCTATGGGCTTTTTTATTTCAAACTGAATTCTAAAATCAAAAAAACCACACCAATTTCTTCCGAATCAAACTTTTCTCGCTTGAGACTACGTAGTCCCACTAAAAACCCTTAGTCCCCCCTAGTCCTGCAAAGTCCCCCTTAGTCCCCCACACAAAAAGCTTAGTCCCCGCTTAGTCCCCTGTGCAGGGGACTAAAGCCTATAGTACACAAAACCACAACCACACC